GTGATAGTACGTGTTTCACTATATATACATAATATATAGTATACATAATAGTGGGTTCGTGATAGTGCGTGTTTCACTATATATACATAATATATAGTATACATAATAGTGGGTTCGTGATAGTGCGTGTTTAATTACAATAATATACTAGTATACATAATAGTGGGTTCGTGATAGTGCGTGTTTCACTATATATACATAATATATATATATACACATATAGTGGGTTCGTGATAGTACGTGTTTCACTATATATACATAATATATAGTATACAATGATAATAGTGGGTTCGTGATAGTGCGTGTTTCACTATATATACATAATATATAGTATACATAATAGTGGGTTCGTGATAGTGCGTGTTTAACTACAATAATATATACTAGTATACATAATAGTGGGTTCGTGATAGTGCGTGTTTCACTATATATACATAATATATATATATAGTGGGTCCATGATAGTGCGTGTTTCACTATATATACATAATATATATATATATACATAATAGTGGGTTCGTGATAGTGCGTGTTTCACTATATATACATAATATATATATATATATACATAATAGTGGATCCGTGATAGTGCGCGTACCATGAATCCTTCTGGCGACACATCTAAGCTGACAGGCGTTGCTGTAAGTGACTCCATTACTGCCGCACACCGGCTCGTACTCATACGTGCAGATACACGCATTCGGCCTGCAATGCCGTCGCCCTGTACATGTATATAACCATATATGTTCGTATATAAACATATACACACACGCACGCACGCACGCGCGCGCGCACGCACACACACACACACACACCCGCGCATACACGCACACACACGCACGCACACAAACACGCGCGCACACACGCACACACGCGCGCACACACGCACACACGCACGCACACACGCACACACACGCACGCACGCGCGCACACACACGCACACGCACGCACGCGCGCGCGCACACACACACACATGTATATATGTATATATATATATATATATACATATATATATATATCCTATTCAGTAATACATGTCCATGTAAATATAAACACCTCGTGATTAATTTTAATACTCGCTAAATGTTGCCGCGTGCGACATATCTTATTGAATCACTGCCGTACGAGCATGACGACAGCTAAGCTACATTCAAATGTGTGCTTTCTTGGCACATGTACGTAATGAGAGCGTAATAACTTATGAGAGCAAATTGTGAATTTCAAGCCGCCTCGCATTATCTTGGAAAAGAGTAAAAAAAACATTTGCGAAATAAAATTATGAAGAATTTAATTAATGTGATTAGATGTTTGAAAAGAGATCCAAAATACTATATTTTGCTAAAAGATTGCAATAGCTATTTTAATGAATTGTAATGTTGATTTAATGTAATCAAATTAATATCTCGTGACCCAGCCTAGTCATATCTTACCGGTAGAATTGATCTTACATTAACTGATGTGACATGCCGGATTGTCACAGGGTTGTTGATTGTTTGGTGCTGCCCTCGAGTGGCGAAATGAGAGAAAGATAGACGGCACACTACAGAGAACAGATGGCAGCACGAGGCCACCATGCTGGATCAGATAGGAAGCAGAAGAAAGCATCTGCTGATTAGTAATTTCTACTCGGTCAACATCTACGAGGTTATGTGTGACCCGGGCATGTTTTGTTGCCGCGCGAAGTTGGTGTGGTCATTTCTACGGTGGCATGATCTAGCGCGGTCATGTACTTGGCTCCCTAGGGGTTTTTTGTTTGTTTACAAATAAATCTTCAACCCCGCACTTGATTGTTGCAGTCTATTTCCGGACCTCACAAATGGCAGCTTCGACAGGATTATCAAGTACGGAGCATCCATTGATTCAGAGAGA